AGATCACTAAGTTTATTCTTAATAAAATATCGATAAATTATTTCTATGTTACATAAAACAAAAATATTTTGATAGTTCTTAATTAATCAATAATTGGAATTCTATTGTTTTGTTTTGAAAATGTTTGCTTGTTTGTCAAAGTACCGTCTTTAACATATTTTTTTAGTAAAAAAATTGTATTTCAAAAGATTAGTTTTATGTAATGTTTGTCCCCATTCAAATGAACCTATTTCTTTCAGTAACAAATTAAAAACTTTCGGTCTATAAACTTGAATTCCATTTTAGACTAAAATATGACATAGATATATAGATAATCATGCAAAGAGTTATAGCTTACTTACATAATTACGCATGTTACTCTTCGTGAACGACCACTGGAATCCTCCATCCAACTTCTCCTGGGCAATCCTTTCCAGCTTTTTCCAGTTCTTATTCATCCTTTTCATGTCTGCTTATATTTCCCAACGTAATGTGTTCTTTACCTTCCTTTTTTCCGCTTCCCTATAGGATTCCAAGATAGGGCTTGCCCCGTGATGCGGTTTTGGTAATTTTCTCAATATATATCCTATTCAACAACTCTATCATCTTTTCCTAATTTCATCTTCATCTGGAAGCTGGTTCGATCTCTCTCACAGTAGGCTTATGTTGTTGGTATCCGACCAATGGATGTTGAGTATCTTGCTCAGACAACTATTTATAAATACTTGTACCTTATTGATAATGGTTGTTTTAGTTCTCCAAGTTTCAGCTCCGTACATTAAAACTGTCTTGACGTTCGTATTGAAGATTGTGACTTTGATATTGGTTGAAAGTTGTTTTGAGTTCCATATGTTATTTAATTGAAGGAATGCTGTCCTTGCTTTGCAAATCCTCGCCTTTACATTTTCATTCGATCTTCCTTGTTGAGGCCTACAGATGCAGAGACTGCTGCTAGACTGGCTGTCTTTATCTGCATTTGTTCGTGTGTATGCGATAGGAGGGCTAAAGTGTTGTAGCTACAAACGTTTATTTTGTTTATATAATCTAAGTGAACTATGATCTTTATGATATTTTAAGTTTTTGAGGTTATTTGTAACGATGGTTTTAAATGTGCACTACCGAAAACATAAGTATGTATTAAATGCTCTCTGTAACATTCATTCGTCAAGGAAATTATTCAGAAAATGTATATTATGATTTCATGATAATCAGTAACAAGTTGACGGACAAAGTCATAAGAACATAATATGACTATCAAAGTCAGTTAAAACACTGACTAAGATGTTAAACCAATTGAAAATTACAATTTGAAATACATCAGAAGTGAACGGTTACGACATCGTAAGGAATCTAGTTTGTAAATTTATAATCTCGATGTAATTAAAGTACTTTTAAAACTATAAGTAGAAAACTGAAAGTTTTAACATTATCTGTTGTTGATACAGTTCAAACCTTGACGGAAATCTTCACATGATCTTTATTAATGTGGAAAGTGTTTTCATACTATTCTAAAACTGTCGTTTTCTTCTTTAAAATATATGTTAGTTTAGAAATTTTAACATACCATTGTTAAACAAATTGTTTATATCTCGCTAGAGTGATCATGGATGCACATTGCTGAAGAGGCCCGCAATAGGATGAAACGGCCATCCAGTGCTTTCATGTTTACAATGCTGGTCTAATATCAATCAGTTCATGATCTCAAACAAAAACAATTGATAGAGTTGTATTTTGGTTTATAGTTGAGTTTTTTTTATAATAAAGCGATAGTTAGTTGTTATTATTTAATTGAAATGATAATTCTTGTGTGTAACCACTCTGGATAGCCTTTTCAAAGATTTTTAACCTAATAAAATGATTTATAAATGTCATAAATATATTTATTTTCAAAATAATTGAAACTTCACAAAATATTCTACAAAAAGAAGGTCCTGAAATGAGTAAAGCATGTTATTATATAATAATAATTTCTATATTCTGAAAATAATAATTACAGAATTCACGCCAGTTTACAGGCATGATCAATTTGATATAAATAGTAACATTATATGTACAGACAAACGTGTGATAGAAGAAAGTTTTAAGTATACTAGTTTAGTAATTGTTTGGGCAGTACATGTATTACAGCGATACAATGCATCAGCCGGAAACTTTTAATTTTTCTAAAATGGACAGCCTGTTGTTTCATGAACGGAGTAATTAGGGTCATTTCGTGTGCCAGATCGAATTAATCATAATTATCTACAATTAGAGAAATTAAAACGAAAACAGAAAGCACGGAACAACAAAGCAAAAATTACCAAAATATGTCAATCAGATCTACCAAAATGCGTGTGTCATGTGACACAATGATATACCGTTGATGTTATTCAAATTAGTAAAACTTGCCGGAGACGGTGTTAACATAGTGACAGCAAGTAGGTGGTTTTACTTAGGGAATGCACTAATAAGATGGATAAATATTTAAGGTTCCTATAATATCACTTGTGGAATGAGATACACTTACAGGTGCTAGAACATTCAATACATTTTCAGAGGAGCAGTATACATCGATGCAACGAACAAATAATGGGAGCGATTTTATCGTACGGATGTATTGTGGTAGTTTATTCCAGAGTCTAGAAAATTTACGGGCAAAGTAATTCATATGAAGAGATGATTTAGAATCAGTTTGTTTCGCTAGTGCCTAGGAATTACGGATGTCATAATGAGAAGTTTCTGTATATTGAATCACTTGGTTGGATGTAAAGGATGTTTTATTAAGTAGTTTGAAGAAAAAGATAAGATTTAGTTTGAGTCTCCTCTTCCATAAAGGGTCTAGCCCAAGTTTATTACATCTAGAATTATAAGTTAAGGTACAATCAGCTCCAAGAATTCGAAGTGTGACTCTTCCCTGTTTTGATTCCAGCCTTAATTCATCCGTTATGCGCGCACCGCTAAGAACAAACGTGTAGTATTCTAGAAGTGGTTGAACACAAACTTTGTAGTATCACAAGTAACAGAACTATCGGATCATTGAAGTATCACTCATCGGTTTATATTTTTAAAGCTAATTAATTTGTAGTAGGCTGTACTGCCAATTTTAAAATAAATTCCTTTAGCATTTTAAATCAGACTGTAATTTCAACCTGATATGACGGGAAGAAATGTCAAAATTAGATTGATTTATGCATTATAATTTTTGCTCAACATTATTTTTGTTTTAATTCAATGCAGTGGTTAATCGATGTAGCATTTGTTTCTGTTATCCTGTATGACATTTTATTCTGTATAACACACGATATTACTATGCTCAGTATGATACGTAGCATATGATTTGTTATAACTGTAAGTAATTTTCATATATGTGATTTCATCCTAATTATTAGTCAATATATAAATGAGTGTATTTTAGACTAGGGTCGTCATCGTCGTCGTGTTTTAGGGATTATAAAACTTCACTTGTATCAGTCCATGTGTTCTTATTCTCGCACTGTGGGAATTGCAATGGTTCCTCGCTTTACAAGTATAAGTGATAAGCTATTCCAACATAACAATCAGTGACGATCAGATATAACAATTGATGACGCGGTCATAACAATCGACCACCAGTCATAACACAATTGATTTATATTTGTTTACATGTTAGTGTTTTATTCCTGTAATCTCTAGATAAAACGTCTTGGTATATAAGTGACGAAAAGTGGAAATTGAAAAATATATCCATCAAATTAGACCTGTTCAGCTAAAAATAATTTCTGAAAGACTTTGAAATTAAAACGAATTCATTAAGATATATAGTTAAAACAGTTAGCAGAATGGATAAATTTAACCATCAAATCTCATTAACAAAGTCTATGATAGAAGTCAAAATTATGTTTTCAAATATTCATTTCAGAACTTATAACAACAAGGAAAAATACGATCTACCCATAAAAATTCAGCGTTATTTTAAACAAATATTTTGATTTATTACTAGCATTACTAAGTTTATATGAATTGAATATCCAATTTGGGGTTCACTTAAAACGGTATATATTGAGTAGTTTGAGTAAGAAAATGTATATTGGATATACGCCAAATAAAACTAAACTACATATTTAAAGAAATTTAGAATAATAAACTCAAGTATTTATTTTAAAAAAGTTGATGTTTAAACTAAAATGTTTTGGATCTGTTAGGAGGATGTTGATTTCACATATTCAAACTTGTAAGTAGTAACGTCAATTCATTTAATGACTGTTTTTACAATTTTTTTCTAGTTAGTGTTTTTCAGAGAATAGCCTGGTGGGACTAGAATAATAATACCAATGTTACTTTATAATAAAAACTTGTGGAGTTAATAATTACAACTTGTTTATGCTCCATTGAGGGGTCACAGGCTTAAGGAATTAAGTTGTAACTATTAACTCCACAAGTTTTTATTATCAAGTGGCACTGGTATTATTATTCTAGTCCCACCAGGCTACTTATCAGTTAAAATGGATGGTGTAATATAATATGTGTTATACCTAGAGCTTAGATTCTTAACATACTGCGTACAACTTAAGCACTCGAACGCTAGAACCCTCGTAAGTCGCAAATTAGAAGATAGAAGACAAGTGAAAGGAATGCCATTTCGAACAATGTAGATTATGGTGCAAAGCTGTCGGGTATTTATAGTTTTTAGTAAAAACAAAATCATTATAGTTTTCCAATCCGCATACAGATGGTTATTAGCATTTGTCTAATAGGAAAGCTACACATATGGATTCTGGAATATTCTTCTAAAAGATGATGTGATGGAATATCTTTGATTCTTTTTGAGCTTCTTAGAGCTTCTGCAAGTTCACAAGTGGGCCGTCTTCACAATATCATAAATTGAACATTACTACTTTGTAATGATGTAGTCATGAAGATATGTTATGAATAGATTTGTCCAGTTTAACAATAATACGTTTGACTGCTAGAAGGCAATTGAGGTTACTTCATACTGATTACTGAATGAATATTTTAATGAAACAAAGTAAATGTTTTACACAATTTCCTTTTTTTTATAACAGGAAATGTATCTGTAAAACAGGTGATTGGTTTAATCATTATACTGAAACAAGAGAAACCAGTCCGTTAAAAATTGATGTAAGATTTAAACCACTTCAAAATAATCTACGTAAGGCAAGTAAGTTTATGCAATGATTTGGCAGTAATAGCTTTTATTTTTATGGAATAATCAACGGAGAGTATAAATAGAGAAAAAGCATTATATAAATAATTTATTAGTTCATCGCAGTTGAGTATATAACTCGCATTGTATTCATTTGGTTAAAAGATAAAGTAATAACAATAGATTAAAGCTATTATTTTGAGATTAGGATTTGTTGATGAAGACGTTTTGTGAATTACAGTTCATGAACAGAATGTTTTTTGTGGAGTTTTGTCAACTACTTTAATGAATATACATTAGATAATATAATAAAGTGATAATTTTAATAACCATGAAGATGAAAGAATACTTGTTTCATCTTGTTGAATATATACCTTGTGCCCTACCAATATATAACCTAATGATACCGCCAATTAGAGGACAGTGAATTATCGACCAGACCAATGATGCATAAAACAAGTAAGAGCAGTCTAGAGTCCTTATAGGTCCTTTTCCTTGTCCAGCCCTGCATGTTGAGTCCAGAATGTCAATCCCAGTCTCCGCAGTATGAATCATGTATTTCAAACATATTGGGTTTATATACAAACCAAACAGACAACATCGTACCATAAAACAGAAGATAACATTTGTACATGATCTAGCCAAGTGTCTGTGAATGTGGGAAAGTGTAATTAATAGACTGGGCATAACTCAAGAATGGTAAATCGTATAATAATAATCTATGGGTCAAAATAAAGCTTATAATAAGAGGAACATGAATGTGCATGGTTAAATTACTTAGCAATTATGCAATAAAAATACATGTATCGTATTAGTCCATGAATAGTTTTCTTTTCTACGAAATCATTTACTTAAGCTGTACATTCGTGCATATAGTTATATGGAAAATGTATGTCTATAGAAGGATAGAAAGGATTGTATCACAAAAATGGATTCAAGAATAAATAACAAATGAGGTTAACGTACTAATCAAGGGGTAAGGAAGAAAATAATTTGTGTCAAAAAGAAAATTTTCTTTGCTGAATTCTCTTTTTCTTATTTAATGACACTATGGGTTATTTTAATTACCATGAATAGTTCTCAAAAGTTACTATACCTAATTCTCGTCTGGATATAGTAAGGTTCATGGTTACCTTATAAGATGCTCAACAGTCGCCAAACTAAGTAATTGAAAATCAATTATTAAACGTTATAAGTGAATTAATTATAGGTAGTAGTTACTATGATGAGATGTTTAAGATTCTATAAGTATATTGACTTTAAATGATGATGATTAAATCATTGGAATAATAAAAGAAATTAATCCTAATTATTTTATTTTTGTACGCTTTTAATTTTTCGCGTTGTTAATGTTAAGGTTTGCAGTTGATTAATCTATTTTAGGATATATGCCTCCTGAGTGGATTGGATTAATATTACTAGTAATTTGGCGGAAATACCAAAGTGATCTGCTCAGAAAGCATTTATAAGTACTAAATAAGAGTAATTAATTTCAGTCCTCAACATTAACAACTGCATGATTTAAACACTTAAAATTGGAATAAAACTTGTCCCTATCAGACAAGCCGATGTCTACCTGAATTCAACAGTTAAACGGATAGATAGCTGGGTTTCGAAGTAAAATTTACTGGGTTCGAATAGTACAGTGAATATCACTAATTAGAATTCATGTACATCCAACAACATGTGTGTCCTGGATCCCACTATTAACCACTATTCAATTTTGTATCAAAATTAACTATAATAATTTCTTAAAGAGAAATGAAATAGAATTTATTTCATGAATGTAAACTACAGTGGGATTCATTTCTGAAAAAGTAATATAAAGCAATATATTATTGTAATAAAAATAATTTTTTAAGTTATTAACTATATTTATTTGTGTAAATGTATATTTTAGAAAGTGAAGTGATTTCAAAATTGAATAATTCACCGAAAAATATTGTTGTGAGTTCTATGTAGTACACAAATTTATGAAATATGCATAAACTAATAATTTTATATATCAATAGTTGAAATCATGGGTCAATTGAAGCTAGACAACCATGGAAAACCTGAAAGCACCGGACGGCCGTTTCGTCCTAGCATGGGACTCCTCAGCAGTGAATATCCACGACCCGCCCCCCCGCGAGATTCGAACCCAATACCTATCATTCTCGTGCCAGGCGCTTAACCAACCAGACCACTAACTCGGCATCCGAATGTGTTAATGACTAACTTCAAGCAATCCACGAAGTTGCGCCACCGTCACCATTGACGGCTCAAAGGTCTAGTTGGTTAAGCGCCTGGCACGAGAATGATAGGTATTGGGTTCGAATCTCGCGGGGGGCGGGGTCGTGGATGCTCACTGCTATGGAGTCCCACACTAGGACGAAACGGCCGTCCAGTGCTTTCAGGTTTTCCATGGTTGTCTAGCTTCAATTGACTCATGATTTTAACTACTGAAATCCCTAAAATCTCCACAAAACCCCTTCCGATATTTTATATATGTAAATACGGTGAGACTTAATTTATGGATGACCTTTGAGTAAGTGACCTTGAGAAATATCAGCCATTCAGAAAATAGTTGGTACAGAGTAAAACATATTTTATACAAAATCAAAGAATTAAAGTGGATACACTTCTTTTACATGGTTTAAAAGCTTGTCAAGGTTAAAAAGAGGTTCAGATGTTCTAAAATCATAATGTACACGGTTGAGGAAATCATCTGTGTGGCTCCATAATAATTGGCCTCTGGAGCTATGATAAGGTCGCAAAAAGTCTTTCAGCCTCGATCACATAGCTTCAATATTGTTTGTATGCATTCCGTTTATTGGGTCCACAAAATGCCGCTTGTGGATAATGACACGATGCACATAACCAATCATCCGTATGTATTATAGCACCCAGCTGCAGCCAGTGTTACTGGTGCTTTTATTATTCAATTCGCAACAATTATCATGATTTGCCTTAGTCTCAATCGGAATCGAGCGAAGAATTTTCCCGTTCTATCAGATTTCTTCCTCCAACACATATTCCATAGGAAGATAACATCATCACGGTAGTCTGCACAAAGTCCACAAGTCATTTGATTACCACAATCACAAATAAGGGAACTTCTTAATAGTCCCATTTGTTGTAGTCGCTCAATTATCACGTTTTCTTTAAAATCCGGTGTGAACCGATCGCACGTGAGCATCAGATACTGGAATTGGCACCGTGACTTTGAAATCCCTCAAGCGCTCCTGATTGGCTCGTTCATAAATTATAGTCTCACCTCTACACATTCTTGAAATAGTTATCAAATATAACCAAATATAACTGAATTAAAAAGAGAGTTAGTTTCTAATCAACACAAAATCCGTATGAATAAAAGTCTATCGGAAAAAATTGTGAAAAAATTAGATTATAACATTATAAAATGTATTCACAGCGATGTGATAGTTAATTATTAGGATGGCTATAGACATTTCTGACAGTAAGATATTTGTTATCGTTCCACATGCATTTAACTGTAAGTAAATAAATTTTCACGATGATAGCTAATGTGATCTTATGCGTGCATGTTAAAAGAATAGGACTAAATGAATTACCTTTGTCAGACTTTCGGAAAATGTTATAAATAGCTTGTGAATGCAAGCATGAATCATAGGTTTTAAACTTCTAATGCGTGGTTCGAAATATTCCACGTGATGTTAGATTTTCAAAAGATTCCTAATGATGTCAGAGAAGTATAACTTTGGGCGTTTTTTACAAGGTCTGAAAGTTTCATGGAGTACAGGTATGAACATTCAAAATATTGTGAAAAAGCTAATTGGATCTACTTATTTATACTATATGTTTGTATACATACGAACTTGTAGTAGGCATTTTAATCATATGATAATGTCAATGAATAGAACTGTACTAGTTGCTTTGTAATTAGATATTCGATATTCATGGATAAAGGTTTAGTCATGAAAACAATATATAAATTTTCACCTAGTACTATGAATATACTTTTTCTAAAAATCCAACGTCGCCACGATAGCCTTTTCAACATTTATAATTAATAACATTAATCAACATGTAGTTGTCTCTAAATTGTAGACAATGTATACTGAATTTTAACTGTACCTAGTTAAAGTAATCAGTAGTATAATTTAAATAGTATAGATAGTACTTTACAAGTTAGTAAATAATATAACTTTCATTAAATGTTTCTCTGTCTTTTATAGAACTCATCCTCTAGACCAAGTAAGTTACCTTTCTTAATAGAATTTCCATTTATAAACATTTTTGAATAGTTCAATGTTCCACTACCCAATATTTAATCTTATATAAAAACTAGGACGTTATTAAATTCACTAATAATCTTAGTCTATTTATCATTATATCGAAATTTATCAAAGGAACTAATTACTTTAAACTCACTTGGTATGAATTAGTTGAATCTCCCCACTGGTATTTAGGACTGCAACTGATCAGTCTCTTATTCGCATATGTGCATACCGTGCGTATTATCTCGATATTGCCTTAATTTACAAGCATTATAAGCAAAGATGGATAGTGGCTAGCAGTGGAATCCAGCTGACGAGTCCCAAATAGAACGAAACATGCGTCCTAGATCCCACCGCTAGCCACTATCCATCCTATGATGTTATAAGTTCAAAAACATTTAGTTTATCCAAAAATCTGAATGCTAGAATCTGTAAAACAAATGAAGTTGTTAATATCACCTCTCTGTATTACGTGGATTGATTTTAGATTACATAAGAACGTATTGATCATTATGGATAAAATAAGCTATTGAATAAAACGTCTATCCAAAGTATCCCCTAAACAATAAATTCTCTTAGCACTGGAATAATTATTCATTGAATTACTTAGAATATAAATGTACAAAATTTAGAAAAAATATATTAACTGTGAATAGGTGTTAGAAAACAATTGAATAAGATGGTCAAATCATTTGTGCTGTTCGTGCTTTCATAAAATTAAAAAAAAATTGTATTTCACTTTTCTCCCAAGTTGTATATTGATACAATTTTAGCTTAGATATTGACTATAATCAAGAAATATAATTTTTAACTCTCCCATGATTGGGTGTCATTCAATTAATCAACTTACAATACTTGATCGAAATTTCAATTAATATTACTAATAGAAAAATAATAAATAACGGTTGAATGTTGTTAGGTCCAGAGTTTCCTGTTGACTACCTTCAACCACCATCTTATCTCAACATAGTGCACGCAATGTCGAGGCACCTAGACTGATGGCCACATTGCAACTTGATCGAAAGGATTCAATCTGTACTGAGAAGGACCTGGTATATATGACAGTGATCACCATCCAGTTATCAACCAGTTGTAAATTATTATCGTAGACATAGTTTCAATTGACATAGAACTATCAACTGCTTGAATTATTAACATTAATTTGTATTGAACTAACTAGTTTCCAAAAACAAAAACATTATAAGCTTTGTATTGTGCAGTAACTTACATTAACTGTCTTATAATATAGATACAGGTAATAATGAAATTTCTAATTTAGATTATGACAATCCAATTGAACCTGATCAATTCAGTGGTGAAAATTGAAAATAGGGATTACCAAAACTTTTATCGATACATTTATGACTGTTGATTGTGATTATTATGTCACTTGAATTGCTCTCAGAAAGTGGATGTCTTCATTATTTATTCTACATATCATTATAAGAAAAAAGCAAATTATGTAGACGTAGTTAAAAATAAAATAGATTCACTTTTCATTCATTTCCAGTTCTTATTCGAATTTTCATTCATATAAATTCACATTAATAAAATGAATAATAGCTTTTTAATAGACAATAATCTCTGTTTATTCGGCATTGTTTTCATAGGTAATAGATGTAATAGGCTTATAATTCACTGTTTAGTTACAGTTGTTCAAGGAAAACTTAAAAACTATGTACAACTTTGAAATTAAAATCATTATTTCTACTTTACAATATCCATGTAATCACTAACTAACTTATTCATTGGAAGCTCACTATCACTATCACTTAGCTCTAAATGATTAGGTAAAAATAAGTTACGAAACAATATTCAAATTATATTTAATCTGTAGCTTGTAATCAGTTAAGAAATCGATTCAGGAATCATTACCAAAAATTTATTGATGAAAGCTTATTTTACATTTTGATGTAGTCATTAGTTTTCTTAAGCAATGTACATGTCCCTTAATCACTGACCTTTTTTTCAGGTGATGAGAATGAGAAGGGCTCATTGAATCAAATGGTAAGTTTTATGTTTTCTGTTTACATTTCATAAAATAAATTATGTGACCAAGAAATCTTTTTAGACTACAAAGGAACTGACTTGTAGATGATGATTAGTGGACATTTCAAAAGGTTAAAATGCTAAAATTACAAAAATATGTTTCTGCATTGTTAAGGTGTAGATCCCCCTGACTATTAAAAAACACTTTCGTAAACTCTTAAATTACGAACTTTAATTTTTCATATACTTCTTTAATTATTGTTGTATACATTGGGGCTGATAAAGTTTAGGCAGATAATTCATAATATATCGAAGAACTAAGAGACTTCATCTGTGAATATCTTGAGTATTATCACTATATCCTTAGAAATCATAGTTGTATTTGCAGAACAAAATACTTTTGATACAATCCTTTATTGTTTGATTTTTGAATTGCAACTTGGTAGGACTATTATATCATCTACATAAGATTGCAAAGTCCAATGGAAAGAGGCGAATGACTTTATGGTTCGTAGTCCAGGTGTTGGATATGCTAGTTCCCTAGAAATCACTCGGTAAACGTCTTTATTTTGTAATTCTATTTTTGGAAGTTCGAATCTCTCATTTTCGCGCAAAAAGCGCTCACTTTTACACTCAGATTGTATTTCCCACTTGAAACGACTCTAAATGTCACTGGTTCGTTCCCTCTTTTAATATGCTATTTTGTGACGTTCCCCAAGGACATTTTTATGCTGTATATGTACGCTTGGGCTATGTGCTTGTTGTTGTTTGTGCTTCCGTGCTGCTTGTGGAATATACTTTCCCTCATGTTAACCAGGTCTTCCCTCTATAGTTAGCGCTGCTAGGGCGCATCGGAATAGTTAAGATTGTCTTGTCGTTGTGACGCCAATCCTTCGTTTAGTTCGCCGATTTTAGGTGATCTCTTTATCTCCCCGAACATAGCACCTGGAATATATATATCAGCAACCTTGTAGTGTAGTTTATTAACACTCACTAAATGTTTTCTAACTTGTTCATCATGTTTTTTTTCACTTCTGTTATTTGATTTAAACTTGTTGAAGAAAATAGATCTTACCTGAAAGAAATCAATAAGTGACTTCATGTTTTTTTATCAAACGACAACAAATAAGCAAGAAATTTAGTATAATCGTTATGTTTTAATCTTCATTATTATACCAAAAAAGTATTCAATAATGGTTATGTTTCTATTATTTTTCATTGACACGTCTAACCAAATGACTAACACGTAAAAATTCTGGAATAAGGACACGAGATATGTTGAGAATACGATGATGTTCTTTATAACAATGCATGCAATCTATTGACAAACCTCAAATTGTGAGGCATTTAAGGCATTCACTGTGCCAATGTACAGTCGAATAAAAAATGTATTCTGAAATAATTATATAAAAATTATGTATAAAATATACTATAAACTAGTTATGTAACAGCCAATTACTGTATGAACAACAAAACTGCAGCTGCAGCATTCAGATTTTGGTAGGTTTTCATTTAAACTTAATGTAGTATGTGTGCTATCTTACTTTAAAGGTCAGAGAGTTTATGAGAGTGCGGAAGAGAGATGAATAGGTGAAAAAGTAATTCAATGGATCATTCAACACATAAGATGCATTTACATCTGATAATGAGGACGATCGATAACACCGGGCAAGAACATATAATTAAGATTAAGGAAATCTATAATCAAAACTTCAAAGTGACACTTTAAGATTTTGAATGTATTACACATTCGACAATCGGAGCAACAAATGCAAACGAAAAATATAGAAACTGATAAATATTAAAAAATCTCAAATCGAAGAAACTCAAAAATGTTAGGAAGAGATAATTATAGCAATAGATGGACTGAATGTCACTATTTCATGCAAATGTTTCGTCAATCTGTGCCTTCATGTCTGAGTCAGATCCCCCTTGTTTATCGACGATTCCGTCCAGGTCCTTGAAAGTTTCCAACCTTTCTAGAGTTTCTACATCAAGTGTGATTAGATTGGTGTTCACTGCATTGCGTTGCAAGATCTTGCACGTCAGTTGTGTATGTTGAGGCCTACTGATACAGAGACTGCTAGTTCACTGGCTGACATCACCTAAAATTGCTGCCGTGTATGAGATAGTAGAGCTAGGTCATCTGTGAAGTCCGAATCATCTAATTTGTTCTTAGATATCCCTTGTATTTGCTGTTTTCCTTGAAAGGAGGAGGTTTTCACAATCCAGTTGGCCACCAGAAGAGAGATAAAAAGGGAGATTAAGCAGCTTTCTCCGATTCCGGTTCTTACTTGGAATGCATCTGTCAGCTGTCCTGCATGCACTACTTTGCACTGTAATCTGTCGTATGACTTACACATGATGTTGACGATCTTCCCATCTACTCACTTCATAGTGTTGAAGAAGGTTCCATAAAATCCTCTTCTCCACATTGTCAAATTCCTTCTCATAGTCAATGAAGTTGATGTATAGTGACGAATTGCATTCAATTAATTGCTCAACAATGATCTGTGATGTCCCTATTTGTCTTGTACACGACCGTTCCTTACGGAGTCTGATATTTTATCTCGGAGCTGGACGTCTACTGCATCTTTCATCCGGTTCAGAAACACTGCTGAAAACTTTTCCTGGTACTGACAGCAGTGTAATTCCTCTGTAGTTCTCACATTTGTTCAGATCTCTGCTCTTCGGTATCTTGATTAGTTGTTCTTTTTTCATGTCTGTCTGCGGCAGTTGTTCTTCCTTCTAAATCTTCCTGAATAGAGTGTGGAGCATGTTTGCAGTTGTTTCTATGTCTGACTTTATTGCTTCGGGTAGTATATTTTCAAGTCGTGCTACTTTTTCACTCTTGACTTGTTTGACGGCCTGCCATTCTGATTTCTTCAATCGTTGGTGGAGTGACATTTATAGGAATGTTTGTGTGAGCTGTTTTGATGTCCGGTGGATTCAACGGAACTAGTCTGTTCAACAGTTCCTTGAAGTATTCAAACCATCTGTTTTTCTGTTCTTAAATCTCGGTGATTGTCTTGCCTTAATTGTCCTTGACCGATCTCTCTGGTGTATTGTATTATCTCGATATTTTCTTTGTTGTTTCATATTTCCTTCTCTTACAGCTTTTTCCGCTGTCGTTGCTAGGTTTTCTGCGTATTTCTGTTTGTCAGCTCTAATGCTCCTCTTCACCTATTTGTCTACTTGAGTATGTTCACTTTATGCCTTGGCTTTCTCTGCTCATGTCCGGCTGTTGTTAATTGTTGTCTTATTGATCTTTCTTTCTTGAATCTTGTCCACGGTTTCCATATTATCCATTCCATATGATGATGTATTTTGAGGCTCAGAACCTCCTGACTCGTTGAAGTTAGTTTTTCAATGTCCCCTTTTCAATTGTCTTCCATAGTAGTTTCTTTTCCCAGTTTCAATTTCATCTTGGCAACCACCAGATGGTAATCCAAACCTATGTCAGCTCCTCTCTTGGTTTTCAAGTCTTCCATTGATCTAGATTCTTAGTGATACAAATATGACCAGTCTGATTCTCTGTAGTGTGATCCGGTTAGACCCATGTAAATTTGTGTATGCGTTTGTGGAAAAATATTTTGTTTATTACCATTTTATTAAATGCACATATATTTACAAATATCTCAACATTTTAGTTCCTTTCTCCAAGTCAGTCCATGTCGTCCAATATTATCTCCATATCCAGTGTTCTCCATTCCGACTTTGGCGTTTAAATAGCTCATCAGGATGATCAGGTACTTTTCTGACCAATTCAGTATGATCGATTGCAGCTTCTCATGAATTTGATCTTCATCGTCATCATTGCTATCATCGATGAATGCATAACACTGGATAACATTCATTGTGATTACTTCCTTCTCTGTTTTGAAGGATGCTTTGATGATCCGTGGTCCACGAAATTCCCATCCTATTAGTGCTTTACATGCTTCTTTGAAAAAAATCAGAGCAACTCTTCAAGTGTTTTGAGCATTTTTTTCTTCATGACCAGAATACAATAACATCTCTCCCGAATCTAATCTTTGAAGTCTCCATTAGATTCATTTGGTTTCACTTGTTCCAAAAACCATCAAGTTATATTTCCCCATTTTGCAGCTATTTGATTGGTCCTCCTAGTATCCCACATTGTCAGGATATTCTATGTACATATATTAATTGTTGTGCTAGTTGTTAGAAAAGGAATCACTCTCGTGACTTCCGAAGAATCCCGGCCTTCACTTTGTGGCGTCATAAGTAATCTGAGTGAATATCCTTCAACTCGGAGAGCAGAGTTTCAATTGTTCACTCTGATTAGCGTCTTTTATCAAGATTGTTTCCTGCGGGATGAGGCTACCGACCTCATGTCTAACCGTCCTTCTTTATCCGAGCTTAGGACTAGAAGAATGGCTACAGACAGAATCCTATATAATTATCAGTAGCATGTACTATAAACCGGGACAGTAATTGTAAAATACTCAAAAGAGTTTTAATCATTGATATTCAAATTGAATTTTATTCAGTATTTATTAAAGCATTTTTGTATTGAGTAGAATGGCTCAACATAATTTATTTTTGTGACACCTTGTAGTATATTTATATTGTAGCTAAAAATGAAATTTGGAACAACCATTTCATCCTCTTTCTGAATTATCAGTGTTTACTTTTATTATAGTATTTAATAATAGTCGCAATCCAAATATAATACGAGTTATATAATATCTTAATCTAGTAGAACCAATGAATTTTTCTATTCCATTAAGGTAGTAATATGTTTCTCTGAAGACCTTATTCATTGATATTTTTGGGAAGCAACCGAGTGTTATGATTAAGTGTTGATATGATCATCTATTCTATTTCTTCTTATTAACTATCACAAATTAATATGCTAGAAATAGCTCCAATTATTAAATACATACTACCACTTCACCACTACAACCGCACTACTACCACTACAACCACTGCAATACTACTACTGTAATGTATGCTACTGATGTCGACAGATAAAAGTAGTATGTATTATTGATAGAAAGTGGAATGTCGGTGCTGTAGGAGGTCGAGAAAACTGAAGAGAAAAGAATGAGAACAGAGAATGAGCGCTAAGGAAACGAAGGAACAACAACGTCTGAGACAAGTGATGGATATTTTGCAAATAAAGTATTTACTGTATGGTTCTCAGATTTTACCAAGATATTCTGTAATGTTATGTTGCGATTCATTTGGTTGTTTCCATTGTGCGTTCTCGTTCACAAAATTACTACTACTATTATTATTACTGTGACTACACAGTACGAATTTAGAACATATCTTGTTAATTTCAATTTTTCATATAATATTTATGGTTTTTATTTGAATTACATAATAACTAGTCAATGGGAGAAACTCATTTAGTCAAAAGTAAACAAAAAGCAAGATCTAAGTCACCACAAACTTCAAAAACTCAAAACTCGTTGGAATATTTAAAATCTGGCTCTCAGAGTACGATGGATAAAAAATTATCTGGTTTCTTAGAGCGATCAACACTTTCTCGTTCTCAGTCGTGTGATTATTTAGGTAAAACAAGTGATTCGTTGGAAGATCATGAAGAGTTTAAAGAAAAATCTGGAAGGAAAAGACGCCTATTACGACTGAAAAGACTATTGAAGAAAGTGAGTATATTACTATTTAACACACAATAATTCGGAGTTTCATAACTTCCGAGAAAACCTGAAATTCCTTTTTTGACTGATTTAATGATACATGTGAAACTAGTATATTCCCACCTGTTTTTTGGTAACTTGTAACTCCTTAATTTTAGCATGCGTATTTATAGCCATAAGTAGTCATAAAATACTTCATCCGCCTTAAAGAAGACTACATATAGGAAAATTTGATGAATTCAGTTATACATTATTGCAATCATTTGATAAAAGTCATATTAGCTTTGTTTTCATAGATAATATATGAAAAGTTCGGCACATAAAAACAGAGAATGAATCAGGAAAAAATAAGACATGATGTCTCTAGAAGTACAGTGGTTTCATGGAAAATGAAACAAAACTGAGAAAGCTACAAATCACGTGTTTTCAGCTGTTACGGTATTTAATAACACTGTTAATTATTTAAAGTGGAGGAAGACGTATCCTTCATGTAGAAACCTAAGAAATTAAAGGCATCACTTATCACATGTCAGTAAGGAAAATATGTTACGATGTCAGGCTACAAAGTCAGTAATTAACGTGCGTTAGGTGAGAGAGTTATGGAGTACAGATTTCGTGGAAGTAGCACTATGACTACAATGGCTAATAATGTGCACTTTAGTGGAGTCCCATACTATTTCTAATGCCTTCTAGTTACCCAACTAAGATCAGACGGTGATGTAAATCTGAAAAAAAACATAGACTACTAATTTGTAACGTCGTTATATTTTAAAATTCATAAAAATTATTTAAATCAGTTCAAACTACTAGCTGTAACAAAGTAGTAAGGTGGCTATCAGTGTTGTGTTATGTCAGTCTCAAACAGATTTTACGTATAGTAAAAAAATACAAGTATTTTTCATTATCTAAGAAACATATGTAAGACTAACTCATTAAAACTATCAAATCATTAATTTTTTTACCACCTACTGAATGTTTTTACTCATACTAGTAAGTAGATACTCAACTTTATGGTGCAATGGATCTGATATGAGATGAAAGATTAAAATCTGCATGAAACTTCAAAATTCATATTCAAATCTCCAAAAAGCTAAAAACTTCCTCAAGCTCACAAATCACTTTTGCATATATTTCTTAGTGGGTAGACTCTAAGAACTGGGGTTTTACATGTAGAGCATTTAACTACCCAACATCAAATAACTTATAGCATTATAGTTTGTATCTCATTAAATTTCTCTACCTACACTGACTAGTGACTATTTAGATGATTGAATTTTATGTTTATTTCATTCGTTGAGGTCGGTACTTAGAGGAAAAACTTCATATCTGAGAGTTTTCTGTTATCTTTAAGTCAATGCAAATTAATATATGTGGACTTGTGAGTAGATAATAATACCGTTAAATAACGATCCAAACATATATTTGACAGTCTAAAATATATGATAATAATACAGTAAAACTAGTTTATACTTTTAGGAATTTAATTGAGAAAGATAACCAAACCACATGGATTATTTCGCTCAAGAATTCGGCTCGCAAATATCATTGATACAATGTTATGTAATACAGTTTAACAAAAAGATTTTACATTAAATCAATAGAAATAAGAAATTACTTAATCTGTCTATATGCTAACAGTCATTATTCACTCTTTGTGATAAGTCTTGTAATTGAACGCTAGATTTGGTCCCTAAGCTCTTCTAGTAACCCACAGGCGAGATAGATTTACACACCAACTTTAACACGAGATAACAAGCGCGAGATATAGAAAGAACGCTGTACTCCAAAGGTTCATTTATGTACAGAAAGTTTAGATGGCCTTGGGTCTTCCGAAAATTCTGGAATGCTATTAAACATAGTAGCATACAATCAGAAACTCGATATGTAACTTTTCACTTTCTAGATAATTTCTGGCAAAACTTCTAATGAATGCTGATTGAATAAGATGCTTCATGATGTTTTTTGAGGCTTTCTTGAATTTTTTTCGAGGACTTTTTTGGATCTTCCTAACACTTTGTTTGGTCTGTTCTATCACTTAAAACAATAATTGTTTTAACATAATTATAAGATTTATTTATAAACAATATATAAGTTGTATTTATGTAACTACTTTGTGACTGAATACATAAATTATATGATTGTATTGGTCTTTCAAGTTTCTTCTATACGATTTACAAAATGAACCACAATCTTTATCGATGTATTTAAACTGATTACGTATGATCAGTCTGAAATCATATTTTTTGACATTCGGCTACGTATTTTTTTCTAAAGCAACGTTAACACATCACAGTGGATATTTATCGTTCACAACTGTTGAATAGTTAAAAATTCCACATTTTATACATGTTCTATTCTCAATTATCGATAAGCTGTTTTTATACTTCGTTTATACATTTTCTACCACGCGTTTTGTCCCTATGCTTTATTATTATTATTATTGAGAAATAAGATCATCTGATAACTGTTGGCAGCTGATTACCAGCTAATCATTCTATAGATCTCCATGTGATTTGTAGTTTACGGATAGTTAATGACAAAATTAGAATTATTTCCATTTATTGAATATCACGTTTCTTATTTTTGTTTTGAAATTATTGGGTGAAATCATTATGAATACATTGGTCATTTGTTTAATAGAATCAACTACCATTTACAAAAATGTCCGTACAAAATCAGACTAATAAAACAATAGACTTCATACATGTTAAAGTTAGACAAACAGATTAGATAATGTATTTCATTGTTAAGTATAAAATGTTTTGATTTTGTATATTATAGTTGAAAGCAATATGCGAATACTGCAGTATCTTTTCTAACTACTTACCGTCTGAACAATTTGTGAGTTTTTCCAATTTACATACTGAGTGAATATGAAAATAAGAATCATTTGAATTTATCATTTAGATACATCAAGAGATTGAGTCACTTTTCAAATGAACGTTTCGGTTTACTTTGTAGTTAAGTCTCATTTTATGATGAAACATTTCTTAAGTTCAATTTCGTTTCTAATGGAATTCATCATTAGACTATCATAAAACCTCATTTAAAGCAAATCTAGTTTTGAGTACAGTGAGTTAGTAAACAAACTTTAAATATACACTGCTAAGCTATCCCACAGTTGCTCAACCTCTTTTTTATTTAATTTATTTCAGTATATCCAATAGATCAAAAAATAAGTAATGCATTGAAAGAATCCTTATAAAAATGTCGTTTAATAAATAGCTGTAACAAAATAAATGTAATACAGATTATAGTTAACAATTTTGATGCAGTTTTGTTCTCTGAGTTGGTTGGTTTGGTCATGGAGCTTTCATCATTCTTCTGAACGACATCATCAGCACAAACTTCATGTAAAAGTGAAGTGTCCGAATTTCATCACATGTGGTTCACAGCTTGTCCTGTAGATTTTAATGTTAGTTGGTGGACCACATGTGATAAAATTTGAACACTTCACTTCTACTTGAAGTTTGTGCTGATGGTGTCGTTCAGAAGAATAATGTAAGCTCCATGACCAAACCAACCAACTCAGAGAACAAAACTATCAAAATCATCCACTTGAGCTAAAAATCTTCTCCACTATCTCGTAGTTAATAATTTAAAGTAGTATTTTATATTTATCAAATTAATGGAATTTATTTAAAAATTAATGTTTAATCAATCAGTTTCCTAATTCGATAGAATTACAGAACACTAATTTAAATGTAAACATTTTAGATCCGTAATGCATTTATTATGAAATAGTAATGTAAAATATTATATACATTTTCATTTCATTTTATCACTTTTAATGCCTAGAGTAAATCATTCAAATCAAATCACTATAAAGCTTCTAATGAAATGGATGAATTAACTCATGGTGAAATTGATGTGTCAATGGAATATGATGCTCAAGATCAACAACTTGGAGTTAGTTTATGGGCTGCTAATAATTTAGCACATGAAAAATACAAAATCGGCTTACCGTAAGATTTTTTATGACATTCTATTTGAGTAACTTATATTCTTTAACAATCTAAAACGGGTTGATTTTTAACCATCTATATTTAATTATTTGCTCCGTATTCGAAGTGATCACTAAGTGTGAATGTAACGTTGTTTGTAAATGCAAATCAAAAAAAGTTTTATATAATAATAATTGGATTGTAGTTTGTTAACTGTGGTTCTATGTGTTTAATGCTAACAAAATCATAGTATCTCAATGTACGATTGCAACAACTGAAAGTGTTTAAGAAGTAGAAAACCATATTGCGATTTCTTAGTTACAATGAATATTCAAGAAAGTAGTCAAGCTATTTGGATATTTCGCTGGTTGAAATCATGAGTCAGTTGAAGCTAGACAGCCATAGAAAATCTGGAGGCACTGGACGGCCGTTTAGTCTTATTGTGGGACTCTTCAGAAGTGCGCATCCACAATCCGGCCCCCCGTGAGATTCTCGCACGCGAGCGCTTAATCACTAGATCACTGAGCTAACCGGCATCCAAAGGTGTTAATGTCTAACTTCAACCAATCCACAAAGTTGCGCCACCTTCACCATTGTCTTCAGTGAGCTGATATCTCACAACAGACCTGGTTGAACCCCACTGGTCATGGCTTCTCACTAGAACTCCAGGAGTGTCTCTTGAATTCAGTCACTTGTGAGTGGATGATTATTATCAGAAGGGGTCTTGTGGCGATTTTAGAAATTTCACTGGTTGAGGAGTCCCATACTAGAACGAAGCAGCCGTCCAGTGCTTCCAGGTTTTCCATGATTTCAACCAGTGAAATTTCTAAAATTTCCACATAACTTCTTCTGATACCTGAATATTTGTTTAAATAATTCATCTGTAATCTGACTGATTTCATAAGTGTATCTTTTACTGTTAGTCCTATATAAAAATATATTTTAGCCTTTTTAGCTTAAAAATGCTGAGGATTTATGTAGCAACGATTTACTCAAATTTCTATAGGAAACTCAATATTATAACTTTATGAAATATAGTTGAATGACTGTCGATTTGGTTTGAAAGCAAGTAAAACAGTTAAATCAATGTATAAATATATACTATCTTCTTATCTTAACAACTATAGAGTTACCAATACAAAATACTAAGACATTAAAGTAATTATTATCTAACTAATTTGTTGCCAGTATTTGATTCAGATCAGTATTTTCAAAATTGATGATAATTAGATTTAACATTTTTCGTTGTTTCAATGTAAAAAAGGTTAAACTGTGCAAAGCCTATGATATAACAGCTACCTTGAAGTGATCCGAGTTTTTTTTTTTTTGATTATGTATGTTTTAGTCATGCTACAATCTCATTGCTTCCAGATAATGTCAAATATAATCTCAAAGTATCTGGTAACAATAAATGGGATGGAAGAGATGCAGTTTTTGATCTTAGTGTTTGTTTTACAGTACATAGATGTGATTTAAACAAGAAGATTATTGTAATAAAGTTATGGTCTAGAAATGGTATAAAGTCACAATTCACGATTGGCCAAACTGTTATTCCGATAAAAGAATGTAATCTTTTGTTCTCAGCATGTAGAAAGTGCTTTCAATTGATAAGTGAAAATGTAAGTGTACAGTAAATATAATATCATAAGGGGAAAAACAAAATAAGATCCATTAAATTATTTCTATTAAAACCAATTTTATTTACAGTTGTTTAATATAAAGCATTTACCCATATTTTCTTTGAATTTAAACCTATCGTGAGCGTTTGCTTGTGAGCTGCACAAATCTATTGCTTTTTTATTAGTAATAACGGTTAATTATTAGCTATTCTAGAAAATAAACAAGGTATATAACATTTCTAAACAATACTCCAAACGCTGGGGATATACAAATTAAATTAAAGTGATTTCAAGTACAAAGTAATGAAGAGAAGCAGGTTTAAATTGTGACTTTAACTACATGAAACTTCTGTTCTTCATAAATATTTAAGAACTAATTAAGGAACGTCATTTTTATATATTGAACCCTATGATAAACGGTTGAAAATTTTGTACGCTATAAAGAAGCATGAAAAATGAACTATTATCCAAATTAAATATCATTCTTTACCGCCTAAATAATATATATATATATATATATATATATATATATATATATGTTGCTTACCAAGCAATTCAATAGCATTCATACACATCCAACTATTTAGAAAATAAATTGTATGTAAATTTTGATATATCTAGTACCCACATGTTTGATAGTTACTTTCTAACCAGTCATTGATCACCAGAATCTCTTACAATTGAACTATGAATGAAAGATACAATGAGAGAAGTAAGAAAAATGTTTTACGTTCAAGATAAGTGTAGATACAGAAAACAAAGATATTTATAGCTTCGTTTGGGAGCTTGATATTCTGAAATATTCGTTAAACGTTCCAAGTTTAGTCACAAATTGGTAAATAACCGATCAATATATGACAGACTATTCATCGTTTATTCAAAGTCTCTGGGAGAAATCTCTATTTTATAGTTACTAGACAAAGAGTTTTCAGCATTCTTTTAACTTTGTAAACCTTACCATGGACCTTCTCTTTTGTGAAAAATATGATTTTTCTTCTGGTCTACCTAGTTTCAGATTTCCGTTAGCGTTCTATTTTCATACAATTCCAATCACTTCTGTTTCTTAGTTTGTCATCAATGAGTGTGTTCATTCGGGAGGTATCCATAAGTATAATAAGCTGAAAATTAATTACATCGTCTTTTACGTTCATTGTCATATTTATCCCTAAGTGTACGATTTATGTGTTTTTCCCAAGTTCCAAGTATCTCTCACACAATGAACAAAACTTTTCCGATTCTTCTTCTTATAGTTCCTAGTCCCTATTTATTTCTACTGTGATATAACTTTACAAACACTTTATCTCTTACGTAAAAACTGTAAGTGTACATATTCTCTCCTTGTCTCTTTATCTTTGCTAGCTAGAGCAGGAGGTTAGAAGTCGTCCTAATACCTATTCCTGATATTTTTTCCATAAACGATTTCCACACTGGAATAGCAAGATTAGGTGTAACTGGATAAAATGTTAAAAACTTGATAATTACTCAGATTTTCATTCAATCTTATTTTAAGTTAAAGCTTGTTTAAAGGTATCCATTAAACATACTGCTTGACCGTTAGACTATGGATCATAAGGACAAAATCATAAATGAATAATCCCTGACTAAGTATTTCATGTAGAACTTTTGAATCTATTGTTTTACTTATAACAAAAGATTTATAACCTGTCAATAATATTTTTCCTCATAGAATTCAATCATTACAAATCCTAACATAAATTCAGCTTACTACGGTGAAATCAAACTTGCTTTACGTTTTGTAATATCTGATTATCAGAAAAAAGTGTTGTGTGTAACTGATGAAGCTATTGATTTGATTGGCGTATTAAATGTATGGATAAAGGAAGGAAAGAATTTGCATTCACAAAAAGCTGGTACAGATATAAATTCTTACGTGACTGTGTACGTTTACAATTATAACTCTGTGATTTAAAAATTAAATAACAACTTCATTCATGAAATTTATTTTTGAATTCTATAATGTGTACATCAATTACAGCTTGTGGAGTTAACTATATCAATGGTATAACAGTTACTAACTGATGGCATTTAATGACAAGTGGTAAATATAAATGTGATCGTTTTTTAAAATATTAACACCTCGATGAAGACCAGACACATCAACTGTCTTGCGATTACCATAAGAATAAAAATCCCTACATTGGATTGCGTATTCCATTATTAGTGTACGATAGTCAGGTGAGATGGAATGAAAAGAATTAAGTACCCATTGTGTTTCAATGAACTAAAATATTAAATATCGCTTTATTACATCCATTTTTTAGACGAGTGAATGGTCCGCAAGTTTTTCCATATTTAATAAGTTAAACAGCAATAACAATATTTGCAGAATATTCAATATTCAGTTATATGGTACACTGTTTTGAAAATTAAGTCACTGAATAAATCCCAATAAGTGAACAATTAAAAGATGTAGTTTGACATCAAATGGAATATATCAAATAAACATTTGCTTTTACCAACCACATTCATATAATTATTTTATTTAATTAGGGAACTAACTGATCCTGAACACAAAACAGAATGTCGAAGTACTGATCAAATTCTACGAAGTGATCAACCGGTTTGGAATAGTTTACTTCAGTTTCCAAACAAATATCTTAGTGAACTAATTGAATCTACTGTGAAAATATTTATTTGGAATCGTTCAAGTAGCTTTAATGATCCAGAACTATTGGGAATCGTACAAATTTCCAATGAAGGTAATCACATGAATTATATATGTAAATATATAACTTGCGAATTAAACTGCTATGTACAAACATAGGGCCCAAATCAGACAATTATAGATATTTTATGAATGAATGAATGAATGAATACTTATTATACAGTGAATATCTAGAAATTTATGTCTTTTGTCCCATTATCTTTTAAGAACATACAATTATACAATAATGAATTATGTGAGAACAAAATAATTGCCAATTATACTTATGTAACATTACTCTATTCGTCGTCAACATTTTGATAACAAAAAATTAATGTTGATAATGATGATATCGTTGAAATTATTCCATACTTTCCTATGAAACGTATAAATGGCAACATAGATTAAACTGTTCAACACAGAATGGAAAATCAACATTCAAGAAATTTCATCTCAACCAAAGATGTTAACTATTTCTATTCAAGCTCAATGGTTGAATTTTAACTCATGCATCCAGATCTGAAGATAATATTCAAGGAAATGTTTGACCGATTCATGTAAAATATCATTTTCCTATGTCATACATCATTTCCATTTTTATCTATAAATACTACAATTTTTAGAAGGGGTTTTATGCATATTATAGTAATTTTAATAATTGAGATCATGAGTCATTTGAAGCTAGACCACCATAAAAAACCTGGAAGCACTGGACGGTCGTTTCGTCCTAGTATGGGACTGCTCAGCAGTGAGCATTCACGATCCCGCCCGCGAGGTATGAACCCAGGACCTATCAGTCCTGCGCGCGAACGCCTAACCTCTAGACCACTGCGCCGGCTGGTATCCAACGGTTTTCTCTATACCCAAAAATACATTATCCTACCCCTTATTTACTGCTATGATTTTCTTTCAGTACATCTACATACTTCTGAGAATATCAAGTTTATATTACAATTCTATTGAAAAATTTTATTATTATACAATACATCTCTTTATTTTTGTTTTTTCCTTCTACTCTTTGTTTAAACCGAAAAAGAATCTGAATTAGTGGATACGATCAGTGATAACAACGTAAATGCTAATATGTATCAAGGCAGTACAGTAACGAAAAGAACATCATTGTGGGAATCTGTAATCTCGAAACCTGGTAACTGGATAGAAGGTCTGCTTAGTATTACAGCTCCAATTTAAAATAACAAATATAAAACATTTTATACAAATACATGTATATGAATCTTGTAACTACTTAAAATTTGATAGTAGTTTTCAAATGTTAGCTCCTACAATTCTTACAAATTAATGAAAACTATTATATAACAATACAGTTTACAGTTTTCTTAAATGTTATTGATATTGAGGATTTAACTCTGATTTAAAAGTCAATTTACCGATTTGAAACATTTTCTCATTTTATTTTTCTTATATTATTTTTATAACAGCCTATTTGTAAAGTATTCTCTTGATTTGAGAATTGGTCAATCTATAATAAGTAACTGTTTGAATGGTTATTATTTCGAATATTATAATTAAATTAACCTGTTCTGAAATTGGTGTTCTTTCTCTAGTTAGCGAGGCTAGGACGAATTGGAATAGTTAGTTTAGCTTGGCATTGTGACGCTGATCCTTAGTCCCGTTCACCAATTTTAAGTGGTCTCGTAATCTCTTCAGACATAGAAAAATATAGTTAAAAGATTTTCTATTGTCGATTTACGATAAAATATATGATCATGTTTTATTTCAGAGTGATTTTTGTGTTAATATTGTGGTGTTTGCTACTAATGTCGACAGATATAAGTAGTATATATCATCAATAGAAAGTGGAAAACCTGACAGAAGTTTGAGAAAATTGAAATGAAGAGAACGAGAACAGAGAATGATTGGTATGAAAAAGAAGGAAAAACGAAGTCTGCGACAATGGATGGATATTTTGCAAATGAATTATTTACTGTATTATAGCAACTGTCGTACAATCAATTTCGATTATGGTTACATTTTGTCAAACCCTTTTAATGACTTACTTAACAGACAATGTTATTCGAACAGTAACAATTCGCATATTTCTTTGTACTATTATGTAATATTATCTTGTCTGTACGGTTGATCACATGGCAGCCTACGCACATACCTCTCCTTAGCCAAAATGTCGATAACTTAAATATCGCTTGATGAATCCTTTTCTTTTCCATGTGTATATATACTCAAATTCTATTAACAGCCTTTGCTTTGCCTAGCTGCACCTTATCTTATTTGACTATAAATTCGCTTCTGTATTCACTCGCATGAACATCAACTCTGAGATGCAGGTACATCCGGCTGACGAGTCCTGAATAGGATGAAACGCGCGTCCTGGATTCCATTCTTAGCCAAAATCAGATAATAGTTAAGAATTAATAATTAATATGAATTCTGTGGAATGTTTATAAATTAAATTACCTGTAAACTAATAACTTAAACATTCTATTTTAAATAATCACCAAATTAGTCTTTAAAATATTAAAATAATTGATAAAAACCTTTTCAACTACAAAGAAAGATGAGTAATCGAAGCGTTTCACATAATGCGAAATCCTTCTGTCTTCAATGGGAGAGAAAGCCTGAATATTCATCCAACCTGGACTGTTTATCCAAACAACCATATCTGACCTTAATTATTTTCAAGTAAATGGAATATTAAATAAGAAAGACTGGTTCAGTGAAGAGTTCTCTTTTCTTTGAATTCATTTTCAAAGCTGTACAATCGCAAATATATATTTATTTTTCAGCATGAGAATAATTACAATAATAGTGGTATTAAAATTCCCTTAAACATGGTAACAGTGAGGTAAAACAAACAAAATTATTAAAATGTTTTTTATCAGTGAAACTAATAATAATTTTATTGTTAAAGGTTTTGAATATTTATCATAAAGATAAATAGGGTAATAGCTCAGCACGATAAGATGAAATGTTAAAATTGAGATGAAATGTGATCAAAAAGAAACAAGTTGAATGTAAAAGTCTATGGAATAGATAGAAGAGGAAGCAAATAACTGTGAAGGAAGAAAAGTATGAAGAGGAAAGAAAATTATGAGACACTAAGATCATGATAGAAAGAGAGGTTGTTCTAATTTCGGTTTGACGCACAATTCCTGGTTTTCCAGATGTATGGCTATTGCTTCGACAATGTTAAGAGGATGCGATATAACTGCCTTTGGCAGCCTTCTACTTTGAACGCAGAGTCAGCTTTGATTGTATGACCTGTGATCACAAGGTGTTCGATCATTGAACGTCTTATTCAACCGTTTCCACCTCTTTTTAACCATGCCCAGTAGTGTTTTAGAATTTTTTTTAATAAAGTACGCATTGAACGACTTAGATATTTGGCTCTACATAAGAAGGTAAATTGACAAATGTACATAGATATTAGATGAGATAATTTATACTTAAGACTATTGATGAACATTGATCGGCTGAAGAACACTATTCGCAAAGTTGCTGCAAAATCATTGTTACTAGAAAATGGGAAATATTCCTCTTTAGAATGTCTGTAATTCTATCACTTTTAAAATCGATGTTCATGTATATTGTTTAATTTTTAAACGAGGTTATTTGTGCCTTAGGAGGTTTAAGTTTTATATTCTTGTCAATAAATATCGAGGGATACTCGTTCTTGATAAGTGTCTTCAAGATGCCTAGTTCGTGTTCCAGAACCTCGAGACCACCAATTCTTCGTATTCGTGTAGTGTGTGACATGATTAATATTCGCTTTCAACTAATGGGAACCTAACTGTGGAAACTTGATGGCTTGACACTCCACAAGGGTTTCCTGTATTTAGATCTTAAAGTCCCGTTGTGTTGTCTTGTCATTTTCGAATGAAGAAAGTGAATACTTTGCTTGTTTTCAGCTTCAAGCGTGAAATTTATTTCTGGGTGACACTTATCAAGTGTGTTTAGAAGATTATTTAAATCATATGTGTAGTCATTTGTTAACATACTAAGCAATTGTTACCAATTATAATTACCCTATTTATCTTCATGATAAATATTCCCTGATAAAAAAATAATGTTTTGATAGCTTTGAAAATGAATTCACCAAAAGTAGAGCTCCTTACTGAACCAATCTTTCTTATTTTATTTATTTTTCACGCAATATATATATATATATATATATATATATATATACTCAATTTTAACCCCACTACTTCATATCCACTTTCTGATGCACAAATTCATACAGCGACAAGTCATACAAGTTTACCTTGACCAAGAATAACTTGATATCGACATGTTCAAACCCACCATTGTTAAAACTTGTGGCCTGTGTGCCCTGTTAATGTATAACGTAATGATACCGCCAATTGGAGAACAGTGAATTATCGACTGACCAATGACTCATAAAACCTGTACAAGCAGTCTAGAGTCCTTATCGGTCCTGCCTACTGCCTAGCCCAGCCTGTTAAGTGCAGAAAATCAATCTCAGCCTCTGTGATATAAATCATGTATTTCAAACTTACTGGGTTTTATACCAACCAAACAGACCGCATCGTACTATAAAATAGGAAACAACATCTGTACGTAATCTAGCCAAAAGTGGTTGTGAATGTGAGAGATTGTAATTAATAGACTGGGCATAATCCAAGAATGGTAAATCGTATAATAACAGTTCGTTGGTCAAAATAAAGCTTATGATAATATAAACACGAATATGAAAAGTTTAACTACTTAATAATTATACAATAAAAATATATGTATCGTATAGATCCATAACTGGATCCCAACAGTTACCATCCATTATTGTAATCGAGATATAACAACTATGATCTTGAATGTATCAAAAATATTCTTTATTGTTTCCTTTGTACTATTTAAACTTGTATTAGCCTTATTTCGGTTATTTATTTATTCTGAAGAAGTGACCTACACAAAGTCACGGAATGTCAGAAATGCAAGTTTTCTAATCATTGGAATATAACAAAAAAATATATTTTTATTAAGATTAAAATTATTCTCTTAGTTTATAAACTAATCATCACAAATTTATTTAAAATATTTTAGATAATTAAAACAACTCATTGTGTCATTGAATAAAAAGAAAGAGAATTCGGTGAAGAAAATTTCCTTTTCAATGAAATCATTTACTTCAGTTGTATATTCCTATTTATAGTTGCATGGTAAATATATGTCTATAGAAGAATGGAAAAGATTGACCTGTAAATTATTTTCATTCTACTATTCTTCTCTAATTCCCTGATTATTGCGCAACCTCATTTGATATTTGGAATCTCGAATCACTATATGACGCAATCTTTTCTATTCTCCGATAGACGTATATTTATCAATAAGAACGTAAAGCTTAAATAAATGATTTTATTGAAAAGAAAATTTTCTGCACTGAATTCTTTTTATTTTTAAAATGTTTTGTAAAGTATCAGATTGACCGCTTCTCAACATCCATTGGCCGGGTACCATCAGAAACAGCCTTCTGTGGGAGAGCACAAATCAACTTCCAGCTAAAGAGGAAATTAGGAAAAGACGACAGAGTTGTTGAATAGGATATATGTTGAGAAAATCACCAAACGGCATCACGAGGCAAGCCCTATCTTGGAATCCTGTAGGGAAGTGGAAAAGAGGAAGACCAAATAATACATGACGTCGGGAAATATAAGCAGACATGAAAAGGATGAATAAGAACTCGAAAGAGCTGGAAAGAATTGTCCAGGACAGGGTTGGATGGAGAATGCTGGTGAGCGGCCTATGCTCGTTCACAAGGAGTAACAGGCGTAAGTAGGTAAGAATGTCCGCTTAATTTATCATTCCGTTTTACAGTTTGTTATCAATAAATATAATGATTATATTAAATATCTCTTCTGAGAATCAATCTCAAACGCATCTTTACCTTATAATATATAAATTGTAGGGATTTATTGATTAGTATTTCAAAGAATAACATAACTGTACGCATAAAAAATCACCCCAATCACAATATGCTTTGTGTTACAAGTAGCAATACTGTAACCTTTAAAAAAAAGCAGATTTGTTTGAACCCAACTTAAAAAGTTATCTAATCGTATTTTAACCGTATATTACAAATACTTTATTTTCTATACATGTCATTTACTCAATTGTCAAAAATAAATTGATATTGAAACACTGATATTTATATATTTGACGGTTTGTGTGATGAAATATTTTTTTTATTATAACAATTGGGAGTATCTTTTAACTTGTTAGAAATGAAAATATCTGTTATGCGAATTGTTGACACTATAGATATTTAGGAAGATAGATATGAAATTTATATATTGATTTTCATATATTGTTTATCAAATAATCAATAACAGTGCAGTTATTTGTATCAAACTTTAAATGTTTCATTGTTTATTAAAACAAGCGTTACTAATAAAGTTCCATTGCCTATTTATTGAAATAAAGGATAACTAAACATTTAACAATTTACTATATTTTTGGTTAAACTATTAGTAATAACAAACAGACTGTTATGCTAAAATAATAGTTGAATGAACCTCCATACAATTTATAACGAATTATTGATAAATGTGATTCATTAGATAGTACTATCACTTATAAAAATCATGTAATATACACGGTTTAAGTCAATGAATATCAAGTTAAACGACCACATCAGATACCCAGATGATGGGTAGTCAATTCTTAAAATATTTAGTCTAATGGTTCATAAAGTTGACAAATCACACGGTAAGATCGTTTGTTTTATTAGTCAACCTGAATGTTGAAACAAAAGCTGTTAGATTTCCTCTACTCAAAGATCAATAAATCATGGAATCTTTTAGGAATATATACACTTTTGCGTTTCTCTTAAATGAATTTCTTAATAATAGGACTACATTTTGTTTGATTGCATGCAATAAAAATGTAGTTTTAACTAAATGATATCCGGTTTACCAAACTATTCTATTGAGCCTATCAAACAGAAAAGTAGTAATATTTTCAAATCAATCAATATATTACCCTATAGGACTTTGTCAAAGTTTCTTATTTTTATAGTATACATCACGAATTAATACCAGTTAAACAATTGCTTAAAACTAGAAAGTCTTGGATAGCTGATTGTTTTAGTATACAACTCATTAATCTATAAGTCAAACATTTACTATGATACATTTATATCCTGAGTACAATCCCTTATATATTATCGTAGGTGTACATTAACACAGTCTTATACAAGTGCTAGAATTTATTTGAGTGCTTCCTGATTTACAAAGATTGTCTAACTAAAGTCAATTAATAAATAAAAATATTTCTAAAACAATAAAAACCTTTTTGTAAAAAATACAGTCAATGGATTAACACATTTTCTTGCATGAATAATCCATCTATATTATTAGGCCTTCATTATTCCTTTTCTATAAAAGTATAATACTTTATTTTTTATGAATATGATTTCAATTTCTATAACCGAATATATTTTATTGTTGAGATCAATTAAATTAATTCTATTATCAATTATAAATAGTAGTATCATGTCAGTTACAATTTACTTAAATAGATTTATCACGCTAATTATAAATCAAAAAGGAAATTAAACAATAATAATAAAATCAAAAAAAATAAACATACAATATTTAAACATATAAGATATTAATTCATTTAGTATTCATTTGCTTGTATCTTTCCATCATGGTTTAAAACTGTCACTGATCAGTCTGTTATAAAATATTATTCTTTATATTTCTATGATTCTTTAAGGTCATTTCAGTTATTTTATTTTTCTTTTCAGTATTATTATTGTTTTTCAACTTCATTTATAAAAAGAAAATCTTATTTTAATTTATTCTTGCTTTGTACATGTCAATATTTTTGTTGTTGTTGTTTTTTGCAAGAAATCCGGAAATCTTTTCTTTATTTACTTTTCATCATATTCATTGTATAATAAAATAAAGATAAGTAAATAAATAAATAAAAATCATAATTAACATTCAATATGATACATTTGAATATTGAGACAATTTTCATAATACCTCTTTGTTATTGCCATTGGTGGTGGTGTTGTCAAATATTCGTTTTCATTTAAATAAAATTTAAAAAATGGATAGCTGAACCAGTCAGTAATTAGAAATATTCAACCAATCAAACATTGCTATGATATATATATATATATATATATATATATATATATATATATATATATATATATGGTTCGTGCAACATTCCATAGATTTTTCGAATCCAAACTGATCTAAATTTACAACATTCTTTATAGACATTCATTAATTAGCGAAATTTACATGTTCTTAGCTAAAATCTTATTGATATTGAAAATAGTTATTATTATTTATTCAGAGAATGTTATAAATTGTGATGAACAGACAGAATTATTTCAAAATGATCTTTTATTCAATATACCATTAATAGATAATTATGAATGGGAAATAGTTACAAGTTTAGTATTGGATTCAATTGAAGATGCTACAAAATATTTATGGAAACATAGAATTAAGGTGAATTTAGATGGTTATTTAGGAACTACAATGGTTGGAGGTAAGTACATATTTATTATTAGTTTTATTTAGTTTTATCCACAAATGAAAAATGTATTCAGATTATACAGAAAGTTTTTTCTTAAATATAACTAACACGTTGTTTTGTCAGCCTAAAAACTGATCGATTGTCGTTGACTTTTGTCAGATCATTGTTTGGCTTGATTTTCACCCTAAGATTATGCATAACTTATTTAAATGGTTAATAAATTAGTTCAGCTACGGGAGACATTTTATCAGATCAAATAGTTGCCCATTTCGTTTTAGCTTACGTAAATATCAACTGGCTGTCACGCGTCAAGATATATTGTAGTTAATATTAGTTCATGTAAATAGTGATGAATACACGTTCAACTAAAATATATTATAATGTTTGTCAGATGGTATAGTAAAAAGACCAGAGGATTGTTAGAAACTTGTCAATCAGGTCAGTTGGTAATCAACAAACATTTCAAAATCAACCTAATTTATCAGTTCACAGTACGAAAATTCACTAAAATAATCTACCTAAACTACAAATATTCACCATTTCAACATGAGAAATGATTCGGTTTATTTTACCACCAACTATTTGTGCCATAAGATTAGCTTTGAAAAGTAGTACTAAATAATATTTTAATCAAAAACTGGTTTTACTATTTTGTTTAAAACTCACCCCACATTTTTATCATAGATTATCTAAACAGACTTCATACTAATTGAATGGATGTAATGTGATTATTGAAACTGATTGAACCATTAAATCATTATTATGATCCGCTAAAAAAATAGTTTTTTCTTCATATGTATAATGAACACTATTTACAGAAATGTCATTCAGTTAGTTTTCACATTGCATAGTTTCCATGATCACATTTCGTTTTATCGTCAATACACAATTTCAAATTAGTTATATGTATTTTGAACATTCATTTTTTCCTGTGCTTAAATTTAGTTTTATTCTACAACTCACAAAAATATGTGATTAAATTCACATGTGAATAACTACTATATATAGAAATATTAGTATCAGAAGGGGTTTTACGGATATTATAGTTATTTCAATAGTTGGGATCATGAGTCAATTGAAACTAAACCATCATGAAAAACCTGGAAGCACAGGATGGCCGTTTCGTCTCATTGCGGGACTCCTCAGCTTCAATTGACACATAATCCCAACTAATTAAAATTAATATCCACAAAAACCCCTTCTGATACTAATTAGTATATGCATACCAGTGATTGGCTTCAAGAGGTATTTCCTAGAATCCTAGTGAGAAGCAGTGACCAGTGGAGTTCAACTGAGTCTGTTGTGAGATAGTAACCGACAGATGACAATGGTGGATGTGTCGCTCGATTTCCTGGATTAGTTGAAGTTAGACATTAACATGTTGAGTGCCGGCTCTGTGGTCTAGAGGTTCAGAGTTCGCGCGCAAGACTGATATGTCATGAGTTCGAATTTCGCGAGGCGGGATCGTGGATGCGCACTTCTGAGAAGTTTCACAATAAGACGAAACGGCCGTCCAGTGCTTCCAGGTTTTCTATAGTTGTCTAGCTTCAATCGACTCGTGATCTCAAATAAAAATATTATTTAAGGGCCTTTTTTAATATTCGTAAATACTTCTACATTTCACTAGTACGCATGTGTTTTAGGAAAGGTAGTTTAATATCATTATTTCTTCATATACATGTAATTATATGAAAAATAATAAGAATAACACCATTATTTAAAAGATTTTTGACATAAGTTACAGTAAAGCACGGTAAAGTGATAGAAAGCTAAAAATATATGAATAATGTTATTATTATATATTAAAATAGCTTGTTATATATTATGAAGAGTAAAGTATGTAAACTGAATAAATCTGACATTACAATTTGTGGAACTTATTTATGTATTTTATTTATTTGAACACATAAATATTAACACAAAAGGGCACCGAATACATATGCGCTATTGAAGTCACTTCCGCATCCGCCAACCCAGTTAAAGCGTCGAGCATTCGCTTTTCGTTCTCTCGATTTCGTAAACGACAGTAATGCCGCGAGAAGGTAGTGAATAGGACTTCCCTGGCAGTGGCTCTATGCACGTGGCCATGTGAAAACATTTCCCTACCCTCGGCCGTACCTGGGCATTTGAGGGCATTTGTGAAACAAGTTGAATCAAAATGAATGACCTTTTAGAAAAATTTCAATTATTTATTGATATTGATTAGTCATTTATGAGAGTTAGTAGATTTCTGTTGAAGAACTGGCTTGTTTACAGACCCATTACGTTGTAATATTTTGTTAGATTATAAATGCTGAATTTATTTCCTTACTTAAAATTCGATTGAGTGGATTGGTCTCTAAATCCCCTGGTACGGTGGAGAGTGAAGAGAGTTAGCTCTTCCACTCGAAATGCTCTCACATGGTCACGTGCATAGAGCCACTGCCAGGGAAGTCCTATTCACTACCTTCTCGCGGCATTACTGTCATTTACGAAATTGAGAGAACGAAAAGCGAATGCTTTACGCTTTAACTGGGTTGGCGGATACAGAAGGTCTACCTAGGGGAGTTGGAAAACTCTGATACCAAACCAATGGAGTACATGGTCTCCAGGATCCTGAAGGAAACAAATGGCGTATGAATCAGTCGTTGAACACAGGCTACCGTGAGACTGCATCTCCTGACGTTGCTTCACCATCTTATGGAATAGACTTTTAGGTTGAAGACTCGGGGTGCAGCCCGCTAAGAAAACCACCTGCTTCGGTCTGGGCACCCGGGCTGTATGGCAACCCACACACGAATCAAGTGACTTGAATGGCGTATATGTATTCGGTGCCCCTTTGTGTTAATATTTATGTGTTCAAATAAATAAAATAAATAAATAAGCCAGAGATCACCTGAAATTACAAAACGTAAAATTTGTACTACAGGTGATCGTTTCAATATCGAATAAATAATTTACATATAGACATTTGTCAACATCTGAATAAATTAATAAATTTTTTTTCCTTTATCCCTATGGGATAAAATAAAAATATATTTATTATTAACTCTCTACTTAATATTTAATTTATTTGAAACTATCATGTCCAACCTTTCTATGAATACCTATTTGAAATTGGACCTCAAGTATAAGTTAGATATTATATGTCAAAGTGTATTTAAAGTAATCTTGGTGACTGAAAATAAACACTGATTGCAAAGTTTCATCCTACAATCTGCTCCGAGTAACTTTTAGGAAATAATCAGTAGCAAGTTTATGAAAGATAACTAAATTTAAAATAATTCTGTACTAACAGCTCGTCCATTCGCGTTAAAGTGTTGTTATTAACAAACCATTTAATATCAATTGTGTTCCAAATAAGTTATGTCAGGTTACATATTTGTGTGTTATTTTTTTATTCAAGTTCAATAAGTATATGAAGCTTAAAATTACGGGTGGGATAATATTAAACATTTTATAACTCATAATAATGAAAGTACACCAAAATAAAATTGAAGTTATTAAAGTATGTAATATCAGGAGACATGTTGACTTTATTGGTAATATCTTAATAAATATTTACTTACTTACTTACGCTTGTTAACCATAATGAAAGAGCATAATCTGCCCACCAGCACTCTCCACCTAACCCTGTTCTGAGTAATCTTTTCCAGTTGTTTTCAGTTGCTATTCATCTTTTTCATGTCTGCTTACAATTCCCGAGGTAATGTGTTCTTCGGCCTTCCTTTTTTCCTTTAATAAATAGTAATTAATAAGTCAAAGCATGATAATTGACTTAATCAATAAAATATCCGTTATTGTTCATATCTCTGTTACTGGTGAACTAAATAGGCTAGATGTTAAAAGCAACGTTTTTATTTATATATCAACAGTTGCTTTTGTATGTGTAACTACATTCCATCCAGTTTATTCAGATTGTTAAGATTCGCCTATATATTCATGGGTACGTCTGTTCCTCTATTTTTATAAACGAAAACGTAATACTAAAAAATCTTGTTTGAAGTGAAAATAATTCTCTGTTCCTATTAGACGTGATGATATTATTGATCAATTCTCGAAACTCGTGGAGTTTATCTAAGAATTTAAAAATCAATTTCAAACATTGTTTTTATTCTCTCATTCTCACATTCAAGTCTCCAGATCTTTATTGCTTATGCGGCCTCACAACTAATGCACTTTCATAGATGTAACTTCTTTGTTTTCCTATTAGAATCACATCCCTGACTCAATTCAACTGATTGTTGATACAAACATTTATTGTTTATTAAAACTCAATAAGATATATGAGTCAATTGAGGCTAGACCACCATGAAAAACCTGGAAGTAATAAACGGCTGTTTCGTCCTAGTATGGGACTCCTTAGCAGTGCTCATCCACTATCCCGCCTCGCAAGATTCAAACCCAGTTTCTCACTTTCAGGTTTTTCATAACGGTTTATCTTAGATTGACTTACGAATTCAACTACCAAATTACTATAATATCCACAAAACCCCTTTTTGATTATAATAATGTATATACTGAACGTTCATAAGCAAGAAAGTATATAAATGAAAGTTGTTGGTCATGATTACATGAAAAGAATATTTCGAGACCTTAAATGAAATGTGTCACGATTATTAATGTTTTATAATGTATTATAAGTTAGTATATTACATAAATGTAAATGAAAATTGTTTTAATCCGGTTGTTTGAAAAATTTTTACAATGAAAAAACCATATGTATGTATCTAACTTATAAATATATCAGTATAATAAATGAATTTATACAACATATGACTTAATGCTGTAACCATGATGTTAAGGCTTTATTAGATTTAAACAGCATAACTATTAGAATAATGATTGTTGCTTTGTTTTTTTTTGTTTTTTTTTTATTATTTGTATTATTTTTGAATAGGTATTATTCGAACTCTGTTGAAATTATACAGACATAAAATGCCTCAGGTAATTGGTAATAGAATGCAATTACTTCAAGAGAAATTGGAAATGTTAAACAATTTCGGTGTGACGAATGTTGAAAAACAAACTCCATTCTATTTTTCCCGTAAGTTTACATTAATATTAATCTCTTACCTTTATGAATTTTACAGTTTTTTTTTATTACATTCCATGGAATAATTTATGAAATATTTTCGTTTTTTTTATTCAAGAATTATCACTACAGTACCTAATATTTTGTCTTTGACTTCAATTTCTTTGAATTACTTCATTCATAATTGATTGATGACTAGGTGGTGAACAATCTCAAGTGGGTGTCAAGTCCTTCTACTTCATAGATTTGATTGTGTGATTTAATTTAGTGTTTTGTTACATCGTTTGAGCTAATCTCTCATTGATTCAACCATATATTAGAATAATATTTTAATTCATAGATAGTGTTTTGTATTTAAATGTTTGTTTTGAAACTTGTAGTTTCTGTTGTCTTGACAAGTGTATTCATTTAATTACTTGACTTTCATATGATAATTATGTGCAAAACATGACGATTACGTTAATTCAACCAACATTTATCTAAGACGAAAATTTCAGAAAACGAACACTAAACCTTAAATAAAGCCAGAACGAACATGGATGTAGAATAATATGAATTAATTATATTTCGTGGTTTCTCATAAGCTGCTTACTACCAATTATGTATTAAAATTATATATATATATATCGAATTATTAAACCAACCTCTCACACACATTTCCGCTCACTTGAACTCTTCAAATTCTATTCAATTATTACGTAACCCATCTTACCAGTTCTAATATATCTATTCAATTATTTCAATTGTTTCATACTATTTCTTACCTCAATGTTAAATTATAATACGTATTTGATTGTAACTAGCTTATGAGAGACCACGTAATATAATTAATTCATATTATTCTACATCCATATTCGTTCTGGCTACATTTAAATTCATGAAGGAAACTAGACCTTAAATTGAAATATTGATGTTTACGAGATATTATTTAATAAGTTTCTTCATTTAGCTTTAAAATGAAATTAAAGATCTTCAGAAAGCGAACAATCATACATTTATATGATATTCAACCTTTGTTACAACTTTAATGAATGGAAAAATTTATATACAGTTGAAATTCAGTATACTACCTTGTATCATAAACTGATTGAGTTATATTCTTTCATTAAAATGAACTTTAAATAGACCATATGAGAATCATAAATAAGTTTAATTGAAATTACTTAAATAAGGTTTAATCATGCAATATAACACATTTTATTGAGATATATATATTTATCACAAATTCCATGAAACTTATTCACTTATTCATAGTAGCCAAACACGTAAATGATACATAAATAAATAAACTGGAGTTCATTATTTTTCCCTTCAGAACAATGGAAATCAAAGAAAACGTAATAATTTTAACACAAGTTTCTTAGAATGTTTATTTTCTATTTAACTACTCACTGATCACTAATGTTAAAGTATAAATACATATAGGGGGGTAGAGAGAGAGTGAGAGAGATTATTCAATCATAGTATTGTGTAATTATTCTTCCAAGGGACATATTTTATTTATCTTCAAATAAATAAAGTGGTATAACTTAAAAGGTAAGTAAACAGACTGATAGATTTATGGATGTTTTCACTTTTTTTCTTCAAATAAATTTGATTTATATCGCAGTAATTTATACAATTCTATTCTTACTTCAAGAGAAAAAGATCATATTTTAAGCAAGTTTGGTTTTGTTTTTTCTTTTATTATTTATGATCACAAAAATAAACTGAGTTCATCTATATATAAATTTACTTCAATAAGTATAATTCTATCAAAGTATTTTTCCTAGTATTATAAGCAAAGATGGATACTGGCGAGTAATGTAATCCAAGATGTGCGTTTCGTCCTATTTGGGACTCGTCAGCTGGATGCTTGTTGGATAACGCGATGGCGTTTGAAACGAACGGTAATGGATTCTAGTCTCAGAGTGAACATTAACTCTGAGATGTAGGTGCATCTAGCTGACGAGTCCTAAATAGAATGAAACGCGCGTCATGGATTCTAACTGCTAGTCATTATCCATCTTTGCTTAAAATGCTTGTGAATTAAGACAATATCGAAGCAATACTTACAGTATGCACATATTGAAATAAGAGACTGATCAATTGCAGTCTTAAACATCAATGGGAAGATTCAAGTAAACAATACCAATTGAATTTATTTTTCCTAGTAGTTTATTTAAACCTCTTATGAAGATTTATTATGATTAGTGGTAATAAATTACTATAATTCAGCCAACATAAATGTTTTTTTTTCATGAAATAAATGGAAACTTTGTGTACAAAACTCAAATAGAAAATATTTTATTCTTTCATTAATAAGCGTGAAAAATCCCCCTATTAATTACTTCGATTTTACTCATTTGTTTATTTTGTGTGTATTGTATAATGATATTAATCACACTGACATTATCTAGATTATTAAAAGCCATAAATCAATAAATAACTAACTTTTTCAAGCTGTGAACAAATTAGTCATTTGTAAATAATTTTTACAATGGACCACACAGAAAACTATCAGGTCTTATAATAATCTTATTACCACCTAATAACTAACTGAGCCGAATACTAACAATCACTAATGGTTATCTACCTAAAGAAGCTTGAGATTAAAGTTATCTTTAATAAATAAATCTTTTATTGTTTTGAAAATGTCGCTATTTTTTATATAGTCAAGTTATTACAGATTTCTCTTAAGATATATCTGCTGGTTTCAAAATAATCTTTGGGAAGTAAATGTAATATTTTGTTTTTCAACTAACTAGACAGAGGTTAATTAGTTAAGATTAGGACAAGTAAAGAGATGTTAAATCGTTCAGTGCTTGTTTGATCATAACAATAATAATGTTTCATATTTTACCTAAACACAGAAATTTGAAACTGTTATGCATCTTATAAGCATAACAGAAATATTTTTTTAGTTCATGGTAAAGAGATTCCTTGGAAGACACTTGGTGATAAGTGTTGTGTTAAATAAATTTTTATTGTTTTTGTAGGGACTAAAAACTAAATTCACTAATATTTTGTATTGAGTAAAACAAATATTTCAATGGTTGAGATCATGAATGGATTGAAGCTAGACCGCCACAGAAAATATGGAAGGACTGGATGGCCGTTTCTGATACTAATCAACATATGCTCACTAGTGACTGGCTTCAAGAGATATTTCCTGGAATCCTAGTAAGAAGCAGTGACCAGTGGAGTTCAACCAGATATATTGTGAGATAGTAACTCATTAAAGACATTGATGGATGTGTCGCTCGATTTCGTGAATTGTTTGAAGTTAAGCATTAACACCATTGGATGCCGGCTCAGTAGTCTAGAGGTTAAGCGCTTGCGCGCGAGACTGATAGGTCCTGGGTCCGAATCTCGCGAGGCGGGATCGTGGATGCTCACTTCTGAGAAGTTTCACAATAGGACGAAACTGCCGTCCGGTGCTTCCAGGTTTCCCATGGTTGTCTAGCTTCAAATGACTCATGATCTCAACTATTGAAATTACTATAATATCCACAAAACCCCTTCTGATATAAAATATATCATTGTCAGACTACATTTTCTTTTATAATCGGAATTATTAAAATTCAACAGAATTTATTGAGTGTTATTCCAAAAAGCCACATAAATAAACGAAACTATTCCATTTAAGCTGTTTAAACTCAATGGGCTTATTTTAGTACAAAGTTCGGGTGCCCGTATTCAGGTGAAGCTCAACTGACCGAATCAGCCGTTGTAATATGTAAACATATTCGTGATGGTTTTTATCAACCATAAGCTACTACTGTAAGTGATCTATTGAATTCAAACTGTTATCGGATTAAAATCGTAAAAATGTAATTTGTGTGAATTGATTGATCAGTCAATCGGAAGTGAGAAACCTGGCAGCAGAAGGCTAAGTTCCAGTTGAAGAGAACAGAGGGTAAAATAGAAAGGAATTATGAACTGGAATAATCATACAGAATATGAAGGGCAAATGATGGAAATTCTCAAATAAATTATTCAGTGTATAGTTCTTATACTTTACCAAAATATTCTGTAATTTTGTATTCCAGATACAATTGGTTGTCCCTATCTTATTTCTCGTTCATTAAAAATCGACTGAAATGATATGATTAATGTAGTCAAAAGATGGTTAATAAAAATATTTCATCAGAGAGGGTTTTTGTGGATGTTATAGCAATTTAATAGTTGAATTCATGAGTCAATTGACGCTAGACCACAATAAGAAACTTAGAAGCACTGGAAGGACGTTTCGTCCCAGTATGCGAATCCACAGCAGTGCTTATCCACGATCTCGCCTCGTGAGATACCAGGTTTTCTATGATGGTCTAGCTTCAATTGACTCATGAATTCAATTATTAAAAATTTTTTCAGTTATTGATTCTACTTCCCAATGAAATGTAAGTAGTAGTCGATGTAACGTACGTCGTTCTGTATACCAACATATTTAACACAAATAAACATGATTAAAAGTTTTTCTAAGCGTAAATTTAAAACAATTAGTCCCCTTGATAAATTTCGATAGTGTAATAAGAAGACGAAGATTATCAGAACTATGTGATGATATATTAACGCAATACATTTCGAACAATCTGATCACATATATACTTGTTAAGTACATTTATATACGAAAAAGTAAAAGGTCAATCAAACTAGAAATGGAGGGTAAGATTAGTCAAGGATAATAGGGAAAATAATGTGAAAATAATTTGAAATCTCATCACTCTCTATAACAAGCTAATTTTACCAGGGTAAGTTTCAAATTGTTTTCATATTATTCCTTTTTCTATCCTTGTTTAATATCAAATATCTGATATTATCCTTAAATAAATTGATATATTTGTAATATCCCAATGAGTAGAAAAATGACATTTTCCGACGTTTCTTGACTTAGTATAAGCCACTTCTTCAGAGAATAAATAACCAAATTAACATATATATATATATATATATATATATATATATATATATATATATATATCAGACTTATATAAACTATCATAGATTAAATTGTTGTTATCAATGTTCACATA